AAAAAAAAAAAAAAAAACTTATTCATGTCACAGAGATCTTTATTCATATGTCTTACTGCTGACCTTCTCCCTCTGATGATCCTATTATCCTGCCACGTCCCTTTTTTCTAAGATGGTAAAGACAATTATCAATAAATACTAAGGGAACTCAGAGACCGGTGCTGGTGTGGGTCCTCTGTATGCTGAGCGCCGGTCCGCTGGGCCCACTTTTTCTTTCTCTATACTTTGTCTCTGTGTCTCACTTCTTTTCTCAAGTCTCTCGTTCCACCTAACGAGAAACGCCCACAGGTGTGGAGGGGCAGGCCACCCCTTCAACAAACCACGGTTTGCTGGGTCCCACTGCCAAGTCCCCAACTCAGTAGGTCCAGGGAACTGCATTTCTAAGCAATTACAATAAATTCTCAGGTGATCTTGATGCTGCTGGTCCAAGGACCATTCTTTAAGAGCCTGTGTGGGGAAATAAGAGAACTGGATATAATCCATCTTTTCAGACCTCGAGACAAATCCTATTAGTAAATTTCACTGGAAAATCTTTCTCCCCACTTACTAGCTATGTGTTGTTAGGTAAGGGTGTCTTTAATTTTCTTAATTATGCTTTTATAGCTATAAAATAAGGGTATTGGCCAGGCGCGGTGGCTCACGCCTGTAATCCCAGCACTTTGGGAGGCCAAGCTGGGCGGATCACGAGGTCAGGAGTTCGAGACCAACCTGGCCAACATGGTGGAACCCCCGTCTCTACTAAAAACACAAAAAATTAGCTGGAAGTGGTGGCGGTTGCCTGTAATCCCAACTACTCTGGAGGCTGAGGCAGGAGAATTGCTTGAACCCGGGAGGCGGAGGTTGCAGTGAGCCTAGATCGTGCCACTGCACTCCAGCCTGGGCAACAAGAACAAGACTCCATCTCAAAAAAATAATAATAATAAAATAAGGGTATGGCTGGGCGTGGGTGACTCACACCTGTAATCCCAACACTTTGGGAGGCTGAGGCAGGAGGATCACAGGAACCTAGGAGTTCAAGACCAGCCTGGGCAAAACAGTGAGACCCATCCCCCCCTTTTTTTCTTTGATTGAGTCTCCCTCTGTTACCCAGGCTGGAGTGAGATCTCGGCTCACTGCAACCACCACCTCCTGG